TTGTGATTCCTGAAATAAGCTTTCATAGTAATGACCCTAACAAAAATCACAGATACCAGTGCAGACTTACTTATAACTTAGTTGTCATGTAAGTTGTGTATGTAGCTTGGTATAGACTTATATTAGAAAAGAATAGCTTCAGCAACTGTCATCAGTCACTGTATGACTGAGCAAAAATCCTGGAACAAGCTTTGGTAAAATAAAGTTTCAGTGTGCTTGGTACTTGTCTCTTCCTCTTCCTACTGTTTAAATACTGCCACCAAAACTAATGGACAAAGCATTTGTTGGTCACTTCCACAGGCTGTGTTTCAGATTGCTGTTGTACACCACTACAGAATATTATTCCAAATTACTATTCCAAAAGTAACTTTTGTGAAGAAGTTGCCAAGGAATGGCTTAGTGAACAAATACTAATACACAAAATACTACTTCAGTAATTTTTGGCATTCTGTGTTATGACAAAATTCCATCGATGTTTACATGATTAATTGTTATGTTGCATCAAAATGTGAATATTAGGAGTAGTTAAGCCGTTGTATGAAATCTTGCTTTTTAATATATCCTGTCTTTTAATATTTCAGTCTTTTTGAGCTTACAAATCATTGTCTAAATTTAGATATTGAAAGCCTTATAATTTATTTTAGTCACTTGTGTCTACTTTACAATCAAGTGTCCTGTTTTCTTTTCTCATGCCGTGACAACCTATGCTAACGCCACGCTTGTCTTTCAGTCCAGAAGAATACAAAATGAAGGAAGAATTGTAAATTGGAAGTTGATTTTGCATGGCACTGCTACTCAGCCTGAACACATGAAGCAGCCACGTGTATACACATCCTACAATGCTGTGCAGAATGACAGAAGAGGAGTGGAGAAGATGACGGACTTCGTAGAGGTAGCGTTGCATTAATTTTTTTCCTAATGTATTTTTAAACTTATAAGAAAATTATATTTTTTCCTAGTAAGAAGACATATGCTCATTCTGTATTGATCTCGTCTAGCCCCTGACTACTTTTGAGTTGTGTATTGCAATTTTGTCCAGGTCGGCAACTGATACTTTTATTAGTCTCTGTTTTCATATGCCAACATCTAAGGATTTTAGGATGGTAAGTGCTAATAAAGCAGTGAACGCAATAGCTAATGCAGTTGGGTAGTACAAGGAGGGAGGAACACACCTCTGACAGTCACACTGAATTTACATAATTCTAGTGAGAACAAGTGTTGTGTCCAAAAGGAGCTTTGCCTGCTAGAGTGCTTCCCGGGAGTTTGGGAGGAAGTTGGTAACAAATGACGTGACAAAAGTCAGGGACCCACTGATTCAGAAGGATTGGTGAAGTGGATCTGTTGCTGCTGGCTCCTTTGTCACTAATCGTAGCAAATCTTAATCCAGTCAGTTTTTCATTGACACCTAACCTTTTCTATGCTAATCTGTGTTCTAGGACCATACCACACAGGAGAACCTGAGTGAAAAACCCAAAGTCACAGACGATACTAGTAGTAGCAGTGACAAAGCAGAAGATAAAGTCCCATCAGAGGCTATGATACATTTACTGCAAAGTGCTTTCAGCAGACAGATGGCTCAGAAGCGACTGCCGAAGAAGACTGCAAATGAGAAGTTAAATATTCCATACGAACACTTCTATCAAGCCCTCGAAAAATTAAACAAGCCCTCCCAGTTAAGAGACTCAGAAGAAAGTCTGTACAGTGACTACGTTGATCTTTTTTACAATGCCAAACCATACAAGCATAGAGATGATAGACTGCTGCAAGCCTTGGTTGATATTATAAATGAAGGAAACTAAACTATTGGGTATGGCACTGAGTTGGAAATATTCGTTCTCCCCACCCCACCCGTAGTTTTTTTTTCAGAAGTCTGTTGTATGCTCTAGTTGTGTGATTGCTGCTTTGATTGCTTCATATTTAATACAAATATCAAGGAAGGGAAAAAATGGGTGTGGGAGGATAAGGCAGTAAACTGATGCTTTTTAGTAATAGCTTTTTTCAAAGCCTTTCTTCATTACCATCAGAGTAGATTTGCCCCCTCAGGCATGAAATTCAGTAGTATTCCCCTGAAAACTGTAATGCTCTATTTTAAACAATTTTCACGTTACTTATTCTTCCACCCTATTCACTTAGCATGCAGTAGGATTCAAAAACCTGAATTACCAAGCAGTTTTGAACCGAACTGCCAAAGCTAGGGGAGGTACTCTCATCCCTGAATTTGTAATGAATATTGCAGTCTTTCTCATTCCAGGTTCAACAGTTGCAGCTAGTGCTGCTTCCATCGTAGGTGTTTTGTTCCTTCTCCAAACAGCAACGCTCCCTTACCCTTCTGTTCTCCTGTAAAGGAGCAGCCGGGAGGCTGGAGTTGGACTGGAGCATCAACGAACACCGTGAAGTTACTCACGATTTAAACTGCAGACATACACTAACGTAAAAGAGCCCCAAATGAGGCATCCCAGACCATGGGATGGCATTCTCACCACCTAACTTTAACTACCTAAGTGAAGTGCCTGAATTATGAGGCTAGTCTTTCTAGGCTGTATGTAGTTATTGAAGACAGAGGCTCCTATAGATAGCACTTCAGAGCACTTGGCTAGTCTTCACACTGGTTTTGAATTACCTGATGGAGTACTGATCTATTTGTGCCGACTATGCGAGCTTTGGGGACCAACCTCCTGCCTATGGAGCCTCAGTTAAATTGCTAAAGTTAAACAGTCTAAATGCCTTCTGGGATGCCTACATCTGCAGTGGTCAGGACAGCAAAGCTGGGATCGCTGTCCTTTCCTTGAGCTGTGGCCAAAGTGGAATAGGAAGGATAACCGTACCAGCAAAGTCCACTTAAAGACTGGGTCTTGGAGAGTCTCTGGTAGATTGCGATATTTCCCAAATATCTAGGAAGTTAAGGCAAAATGGATGGGGAGAGGTGTGAGATTAAAAAAGAAATACCCTGAGAAGAGACTGAGAAGTGGAGGGAAATAGTTCATGGAAGGTGGAGGAAGGAGAGGAAGAGGAGGAAACAGGTGGCTGTCAGAAAGCAGCAAGGGTGGGCAGCTCCCGAACATTAGCGGTATACCAGGCAAACAGTTTTGCACACATACCTCTTTAAAGTCGGAGTCAAGATCGACATACTATTTTGCTTTTCATAATTAAAAAAAAAAAAAAAACCAGTGTTGGATGCTCAGAAATTGAAGGGGATCTCGAACAAGAAAACGAAGATTCCCAGGGGATAGTTATCTCATTGCAGTGCTAAAGATAATCCAAACCAGTGCTGACTGGTTTTTAGTTTTCTTTCTCTCTCATCTACTGTTGAAATGTGTTTTCCAGACATGCTAGAAATAATTGATTCTCCTTTACTGTCTACTCCGTAAAATGATGCAAGTGTCTGTAAGACAGGAATTCAGCATTTTTCTCATAATTCATCAGTTCGGATAGAGATTTTTGAAACTTCACACTAAATTCTGTAATTGAACTGTAAATCTATTTACTGTAGTGGTACTTAACATCTTCTTCGATGCAAAAAGGAACTGCTTAAAGACAACTTTGAAAATTGTCTTATCAAAATTAAGATTTAAAAATCTCTGCTTATTCATTCTTGGTGATGGTTTCATGCCTATCTTGGGCTTAGTCTGCTTTTTTTGCCAGCTTTAAATAGATCGAGCTTAGTTGATTTGAAGAATTCTTCCGTATTTCTAGTCCATACTTCAAAGATAACTCCACCATTGAATGTCTCTTACACTGAATCACTCCCTCTTTACTAAGAAATTTGCTTAGAATGAGAGGTGATTAAAAAAAATCCCTGCAAGTGGTCCAGATCAGAGAGCTTTCTTGTGCTGTCCCTTCAGCAGACGAGCTTTCTGGCAGTACATAACTACTGAACAAGCAAAACGTAAAAATGTCTAATTGCAGAGTGAGAGCACTAACTTATTTCCACTAATATTTAATTTTCAGAACTGGCAGTTAATCTCCATGATAAATATTCCCATCTGGTGAGGTAGGACCACTTTCAGTCCTGTGCAATGAAGCTCAGAGGCTGGTTCTCTCAGATAACAGCGATTTTAGCCAGTCCTCATTCAGGTATGTTACAGCCAGGAAAGTACTAGCAACACTCAATCTGCCCTTGGAAGAAGATTTCAGATTAAACGAGTGGAAAACATAGGACCCTCCGTTGTTTTACGATCAGCTCCCATGTTGTAGCCAAAGCTTCATCAGAGGACAAGTTTAAAATCTCTCTTTTGAATGTTTCCAACCCAGAGTAGATTGTACAGGAGAAATTATTTTTATTGTTAGTCTTTCCTTGGTGCCTGTGTGGGTTTTGTGAAAAATGTAAAAGGGAAAAAAAAAAAAATGTTTTCTCTCAGAATTTTAAATTATATTTTCATTACAGGTATTTATAATATAGCAAAGATTTTATTGAACAGACAGAATTTTAAAAGGCATAATAAATTATATTAACCAGATTTTTCTTGGGAAAGAGACAATTTCATCCAATAAAGGTATTTTTTAAAAGGCATGTTCCAACAGCAACCACAACATGTATGTGATGTGATGTTAAAATTTGTCTACTAGTAGCATAATACAGTGTGTTAGCAGAGCTCAGAGTGTGTGGTCTTAACATTTGTAAAGAACACAGTAAGGTAAAGTCAAGCCATTGACTTCAAAAGACCGGGAAATACAGTTTAGAATTAAAAATAATGGCTTGAGGAAGTAACGGGGAGGTGGGTGGAGAAAATGTGTAATTTGCTGAAAGTGAAGACTTGGAGGATTTCTTCACCAGGAACGCTGGCGTGCTTACCTTTCACAACTGCAGCCGGAGTAAGACTGGCTGTGGGTATCAGTGACCGCAGCACTGGCTGTAGTTCAGACCCGGTGGCTCTGAATTACAAAATTCTGCCTGTTTCACATACAGGCGCGTGTGTCAGAAGCACTACAATGAAATAATTCAGCAGAATGAGTCGGAGCCAAATTAAATGCGCAGGTCTTCACTTCCTTGCATCAAGGCAGCAGCATATAAAAGATACTTCTTGGGGTTTTTTTCCGCCCTACCGGTCACATTTCGAGCCCTTACATACCCTTCTATACTGGAAATAGAACTGCTTTTTAGGGGCAGGTGTTTGCGGGTCTGTGCTGAGGATTGGGCTCTGGGGGAGCGCGTAGCCTCGCGCACGATTTGGGGTGTTCCCCGGGCTGCTCGAACCTACGCTGCTGCCCAGATGTGGCCGGAGAGATGCAGCTGTCTGCGTGAAACGCCCCGCTCCCGCGAGGCTGAACGGACAGCATGTTGGAGCAAGCACCGCGGGGATGAACGAGTCTCCTTTCCAAAGCTCTAACTCCTTGAGCACTTACGGATCATGCTTACACTCGGATTTAGTTTGCTGCTCGAGTCTCAGCGAACTACTGCTCAATTAAAACCTGCTTTGTCCAGTGCTGTAAGGATAATTAAGACGTTTTCTGTGCTTTCAAAAAGCTACATTTCCATAGCAGAAACACTTCTGGTAAATGTGCATAGATAATAGCTTTCTGAAGTAGCATAAAAAATCTAAGTCTACATTCAAGCAGTAATAACTAGCTTCCACACTAAGCAATAGATTTTCTCTCAAGTTGGTTTGCTTTTTAAATGTCAGGCTGCATTTGAACTTTCTAGCTTTAGCTGTTTTGAGTTACCCAAGCGGAGTTTCTGATCAGTCATACCTTGTAACTCCAAACTTGAGAATTCAATTTTGCAAAAGGAGTGTCCTCTTTCTTACCTCTCCCAAAATCACGTCAATCTGAAAACAATCAACCATTTTCAGTAAAAAGAAAATTATTTTAAGAGAGGCAGTGGGACCTTACAAACACAATACTAGAATTATCTTACTATCAGAAACGTCGAGTGGATGTAGTCTGTGTATGAAAAGAGCATGTAACTTCATGACCTGTTACGTATCCTACGTGCAGGCCGCACCGTGGGGGTGACGCCAGGCTTAGCTAACCGCCTGTGCTGGCATCAGCGCGCCGCACCAGCCTCCGCCCCGCCATTCGCCAAACGCTGCGAACCTAGGGAACGTTGGCTCACGAGTTAGTTCAGCTCTGAAAATTACTGCAGTTTAAAAATTACAGGCAAAAACTGGTCATTAGTATGCAACACCACTTCTGTGTTTATGCAGATACAAAATTTCTGCACAGCCTAAAACCCTTCTGTTTGATCAAATCTTTCCTTTCAGGAGGTCCATTTCCAGAGCTCCAAGGAACCATGCCACTCACAAGAGCCTTTTAGAAAGGGACAACTCCAGAAATGCCTGTTTTGCTCTGAATCAGTTCCTTGGCTAGCTAATACTCCTGAATGCAGACTGAAACGGCTCAAACTCCAACCCTGCTAGGCACTAATAGAGATCATTTCAGTCAACAGTTTTCTATTTAATGACACAAGTACTCATTAAAAATATCGCTTCTCTTATTGCAATTTATGAGGATAATGTAACCAGAAAGAATGAGAAATTTTGCTTCCAGCAAGGCAGTAAATGCTCAGTGGAAAAAATTAGGTCAGATATGTTCCAAGTTCCACTAAGATACCAGAGAAAAATAAATAGATCATATGTGAATATGGGTAGTTATCAGGAAAATGTATCTTAATGGTTATATCATTTCAGCTATTTCACTACCTCCAATCAAATGTAGCTGAGCATATATCTCTTTCCTTCTGATGTCATATTCTTT